TAATCTGAAACCCAGTCCTATAAAATCTTACAATATTTTATATATTTACTAGCAGACCGGCCAAGCGTTGCTGTGGCTAAGGTTTTAGTTATATTACATAGTAGTAACCTATTCAAGGGAAACGGTAGGAGAACACCAGTCATGAGGACCACCTTGCTTTTTTGGTGGTAATGCCATTAAATTGTAGCTTATGTGAAACGTTGGTACTTTCAACACAGCGCCGCGCCATCTGTTAGAATTGTGACTATCAAATAATAAACAAATATTTTGCAATAAAATAATATTACGGGTATAAATTGAGATGTAAGCTTTTTTTTATCTATTCTATCTTTTAAGTTAGATCAAACTGCACACGGTGTGCAAATTTTATTGAAATCGGTTCGGTAGTTTAGGAGTCCATAGCGGACAAACAACGTGACACGTAATTTATATATATTAAGATTTTAATGCTGCAATCGATTTTAAGGTTTTGTACGTAAAGGAAGGAAATTTGGTTTAAAATCCATTGGGACTTTATTTTAAACGTGGACTGAAGATAGTACCATTTTAATTTTAATGCAAAAAAACATCTTTCGTTCATTTTATAACTAAATCTAAGGTCTAACTCAAAACTTATTTTCCGGAACCTGAAGCTCCGGGTAAAAATAATACTAACAATACTTAACTTACTTAATAATAATTACTAAGCCACGGAGGCGAATACCACGTGATCATATACAATTTTACTCAACGATGTTTACGAATGTTGTTTCAAAACAAATACCATGAGATACGATTAATACTAAGGATGATTTAAAGATGCCGTTATTGTTGTATGTATATGGAACAATTGTTTATAGAATATTTTAAAACATGTTGTTGCCAGTTAAAAATAACTTTCACATTTTAATTTGTATATATATATAATTGATAGATTTATCTCATACCATTTTACCGAGTTTTTAACTATGAATTATGTATTCTATCTACATGAGGCTACAATTAAAAACCATGAACAACACAGGATTATCATGTTAATATAATTTCGTCGGTTAAATGGAACCCGTGACCATGCGAAATAATGCTATAATTATTCATTCTACATGAATTGTAAAATAGGAAATGTATATTTGTAAAATAATGTATATTTTTAGATCTTATAAGAATATAGAGTTAATGGCTTTACATATATTTTACTTATTTTTAGATTTTTTTTTCGCTTAACATATCGACGTAGGAAAGCATATTTGCTGTAAGTAGACAAAATACCTAAAGTGACTTTTTACTGCCATTAGAATCAGAAAAAAAAACTGCATCGAATGTTTCGGGTCCTGTGTCTCTACGATGAAAAAAAAATTACATACGTCCTTGAAAACGCCCGTACTTATATTTTTTTTAGCAAGATTAAATGCTGTATGTAGACCAAAATCCAGTAATTTTAGACAATTTGTACTTACAGCAAAAGAAAAATTGCATTTTTTTCTTTACAAATACTTACTTCTTCCCATTTAAAAACTTAACGCTACTTACAGCATTTCTGCGGCGTGTGATTTTTACATTCGTTTACTTACAGCAAGCTTAGGGAACCTACAGTTTTAGTTTTTTTTTACCATTTACGACATTTTATTTCAACCAAACATTACATTACCAATTGACCCACTGCATTTCTAGATCTAATCATAATTATAAACTAATCTTACATCTTGAATTGCAATTGAAAGTACCCAAATACATAAATTTACTGCATACAGCATATTTACCGCCTGTAAATTGATAATATTTCCGCGCGTACATTTTTCTTCCTTAGTTACAGCGTTTTAAAGGTTTGTGATTTAAAAAACTGTATGCTGTAACTAGCCAAACACGTACTTTTAGTAACTTTGGATAAAAAGTTTACATTGCAAATGGTGACTGGCAGTTAAATAAATATATGTTTAAAAAATGGTAGCAATATCATGGATAGGTTCGACACTATTAATTTTTTTCCAAAATTAATTAAGTTTTTTGGCTCTGGTGAACAATTGCAATATGTCTACTTACAGCAAATATGCTTTCCTACGTCGATATATACATATATCGCTTAACATGTATAATCCGAAATAAACATTTTTACAAGCTATTCATCATGCTAGACAAATTTTATGCAAATCCGTAAAGTCGTAATTTGATTGCATAACATTTATATATTATATAACATTATTATTTGAAGCATATTTGCTTAATAGATCTAAATGTTTAGGTCCGAAATAATCCTAAACTCAAACGTTGCCTGACTTTCCTTAAAATGATTTCAATTCGCGAACACAATGTAGATTTAAACAGGACGTTATATTAACAGCTATCCTGCATACGCGAAGTCTAGACTCTAGATTAATCTAGAATTATCTAAATTGAATGAACATTCTAAGACGGATTTTTATCACAGACCCACGATTAAAGAAAATATTTAAGCAGTCACCTTCTTATCTAATAAATGTAATACCGCAAAGCCCTACAAACATAAATAAACACATTTTGGCGCTTTTGGTATTTAAGTGACACCAATTGTGTTTGGCAGACGAATATTTTTAGAATGTAGTGCTGTTAATTATATCCAGAAAACTGGAACGGGACACGACGCACTCATTAATAATTGACGCCTACTTCCTATTTTTTTGCAAAATAAGACATAATACTAGTTAAAACTTGGATAAAACAGGAAAACCTTACCGCTTTCTAGGAATTACACTTTTAACTTTAATCTCTGTCTCATAAGTGTTTCTGTTATCACTTATCGAACGTTTATTTTGTACACTTTTTACTGAATCGACTGCTGTCCTTACAAAGCCCACATTTTCAGACATATTATTAATATTTCTGAATTATATTAATATTTCTATAAACGCGACAATTACAGATTTGCGTTGGACAACATTTGGTACGATATTTGTAAAACGCGCACTCGTCGCGCGCACGTTGGTATTGAGAAACGTCAATAATGCGCGTGAAGTATTACAGCGACATCTTTTTAATACAGTTATAACTACTATGTTATATGACAAATGATTTGTAGTAAAGAAAAGTTTTACTTTATTTTTTCACCGCAAGATGGCGCTTTAGTAAATAATTAAATGTAGATCGTATTAAATTATGATTTTTTGTTAAGCACATATGTAACATTTTCTTTCTTCATGTTAGATGGCAGTGGTTCCGAATGATGCAAGAATGTTTTTTTAACTAAAAAATAATGTTTGTGTTGGGTTAAATTAATTTAATCATAAATTTTTACTATTTTAGGTCACAGGCTACAGAATACCTATTTCGAAATGGCATATGAGTTGTTTTCTAATATTATGTATTTTTAACATCATCGTTTTTACTAGACTCAACTGGTAATATTATTTTAAGCTCACGAATGTAGGGAAATTACTCCCATAAATAAAAAAAATATATAAAGTTAAAAAAAAATATTATAATAAAATAAAAAAAATTAAACAATGAAATTATATAATTATTAATAATTCTTTTGTGAGCCTGACATTATAAAATAAGGGTGCGTGTACTTATGTACGCGCGTAAGAAGTTATACTTCTTTGGCATTATTAAAAATAGTTTTTGATTGCATGCAAATAATTAATTACAATTAAATAATCAAAGACTGGAAAAGGAGTCATTATAGTCAATAAAGTTCAGTTTACATTTGAAAAATTAAATAATTAAATATTTATTATTATTCTCTTACATTAAGTGTAACATAAATTCTACTATTATTCGAATGTTGTTTTTTCTGTTAATTTTGTGTCACGGTCTATGCATAGCATCGTCAATTTTTCATAACGCGCCTAAAGAAGTATAACTTCAAAAATCTAATTCATAACAATAAGTTTTCGTAAATAAATTAAGAAGGAAAACAATTTTTTTATTTATAAACGATTTATTTATTACATTAAATGTTGTACAAAATATGAAATAATTACATTTATCATCTAGTTTAAAACTAAAATAAAGCTAAAGCGTTGTTAAGTTGATCGACTACATATTATTTGTAGGCTACACCAAATAATCAAAGACAATTACTGCCTAGGTATATTATTAAATTATTAAACCTCGTATAAGGATCGCCTATACATTTAATACGTACGTTCGGGGACCGACACTTACAATAAATTCGAGATAAAAACGTTTGTGTTCAAACATTTTTGTTTTTTTTTTGCTTTTTTTGACTTTGGTCTGTTAAACACTTCATTGAAAGCACAGATTATAAACATGAATATTAAATGTATTATTCTGTCCTGCCTTTGAAATTCAGCAAACATTGTGAGAAATGACATTACTAACAAGGGTCTCAATAGTATTTTAGTCTAGCTTAGTTGTCATAAACCAGAATTCGAGCTACTAATGGTCCGATCCTTAGGCCAAGACGCAGGCTTTGCGTTTTTAAGTTAAAAGCTATACATCATAACGTATTATTAATATTTGATTAAATGCACATTTTGAGCTTAGTTTAGTATCATATCTTTAAAATGTTATGATTTAAGTATACACATATAACTAAAGGAAATAAATTTCGGCAAAAAGAAATCCCTGGCCCTATCTTTTGGTCCAGAATTATATTTGAATCTTTTGGATCTTAAATAATTCTATAGCTAAATTGATAATAATTTAAATTCGTATCGCAGTCTTCATTAATTATTTGAAGCACCTATTGTTACTTAAGCTATTAGCCACTATTTACAAATAAAATAAGTCCTTATAATATTGGACGATTATTGCGTTTATTTCAGAGTAAAACCTTTTTAGTATAGTATAGTAAAAGGCAGCACTGGGTTTTGAATTAAAAATAAATGGAACATATAATAATTCAACAATTTACGAATTTAATAAATTACTGGAATATTGTTTTTTAAACTGGCAACATTTATAATTAAAAATACAATGCATTGCGGTTATGTAAATCTAATAAAGTTTGTGTTACTTTATACTCAAAGGTTAAAGGTAGCTAAATGCAAGCCTGGAAAGTCATACAGGTCAAATACGTGAAATTATGGCAGGAACTTGTGATATTCCGCAGCTTTCTTGTCCTTTTCTAAGACGTAAAACGACTTGGGTTTTCCATTACCAGAGTAGTATTTCCTGAAAGACTGAACCTTCGCTGGGACATAGTAGGATATCGACTCTATTGCATTGGGGTGAGCCTTTGTCCATGTTGGAGTGTTTTCGACATTCACTATGTCATCATTGAGACGCGCCTGAGGGCGGTTCTTTGCCAGCTTGTTGAGAACTGGAAGGTTCCAATGATACACACGAGCTGGTTTTCCGTTGCCGTGCATTTGAAGGGGTAATTTCCTGGCTGCAACTGGTGCAGGGTCTATATTGCTGTAGTAGTTCATATTTGGTGGTAGCTTGATCACGAACATTCTGGAGTCGCCGGTGCCATGTCGCCTGCCTTGTTCAGCTAAACGCTTTCTGTGGTGGGCGGCTGGTAAACGCAGCTTCTTAAGACCGAGGGAGCTGAGAAACTCGTGAGTTGATGGCTCATTTTTGTCCTGTGTGAGGTTATTGTCTGATGCTGGTGCGGCGCACGTAGCTGCTACTGCGAGTAGCAGGATTGCTGACCTGAAAAGGTAGAAATAGTGCTTAAAACATTTCTCAGATACATAATAATTTTGCTTAAAATTGGAAAGAAACTTTTCGTATATAAATATATTGTCAATAAATTAAGAGTTTGTAATCGTAAAACTAAATAGAATTTAGTTAATTATATAATGAAACTAGCTGACCGGGCAAACGTCGTTTTGCCATATATATCATTTATAATAAAAAATAGGGGTTGATCGTAGAGGGGTGAAAGTTAGGGGTTTGTATGTATTTTAATGTTGTATCATAAAAAAATAAAAACAGAAAAAAATATCTAAAAATAAAAAAAAAATATTTAGGGGTGGACTACCCTTAACATTTAGGGGGATGAAAAATAGATGTTGTCCGATTCTCAGACATACCCAATATGCACACAAAATTTCATGAGAATCGGTCGAGCCGTTTTGGAGGAGTATGGCAACGAAAACTGTGACACGAGAATTTTATATATTAGATAGACCCTATTTAAGTGATATATTTTTATGGTCTTTTAATGGTCTTACCATTAAAAGACCATATGGGTCTCTCTCATAAAGGGCCACTATGGACTTAAAAGGAGGGAGGCAATTGCAATTAATAATTAATTCACTACAAAATTGCAATACAAAAACTAGTTTGGTTCATGATGCCACATTCCCATAGCATTGTCTGCGTTTGACATCGAAATTTCTAGTGAGTAAACATTTGCACTATTCAGTAACAGGTTTCGAACTGAGGGGTCCATTGACGTGTTCGTGCTGTTTGCTTAGCTCAAGGGCCGCTTTGTCTTCTCTTAATGTCCCTCAAGCAATTAGCACACACCAGCTACATCGTAAAACGTTTACAGTATGCCCCGCCGAATGTGTCAAAGTATTAAAATTGCGTATTCTTTGCAGTTTGGGGTGTTTGTTATATTGTACACCTACTGTATGGTTGTAAAAAACTTTGAGTAATTTTTTTTATTATAGTATTTATAATAAGTAAGATCACTGAGATTTTTTTGGAATGAATTTATAAGCACAATGTATGACTAAAACTATAAGATTTTTTTACACAAAACTTCATCAGTTATATTGTTTTTAGAACATAAATTATAAATAAGCAAAGAAAAAATAACTTATACGTATTTGAGGCACTCCAACTTCTTGACACAATAGGAATAAGACTTCAAAAAGAGCACTAACTCTTTTGAGTTAAAAAACCTAGTGAATAGAATATAAGTGCAAGTGCGGTATCTCGGACACACGAACATAGTGTCAAAACATTATAGCACACAAAGATTGGTAATGAACATTACACTAACAAAATGAAGTCCACATAATATTACTTACTAGCCATAATTATTGAATAGGCTAGATTGTAATTCATGTAAAGTCTCTCTTTTGTGATCGTTATTGCAGGAAACAAAACTATTAATTAATTAATTTTCTTAGTTTTTTAACTAATTTCCTGGACAGGGCTTTAGTCCAGGAAACTACTTACTTTCGTTGTCTACGAAAGAAATGGCCACCGTTACTTCTCAGTCTTATATTAGATACAGAAATATTGACACAAAATATCAGATAAAACAAGAGACAGGTGCAGAAATGGCGGACAACAACAGATAACCTCCAATTATGAAACATCGTCTTGATTTTTCTCGTTTATCGAAAGTATCACTTGCACGAAGACGTATCGATATGTAATTATACAGTAAGTTACCGGAGACACTGCATATGTAAGTGTTTGCATAATTGCATTTGCGTTTCTACGAATTGACACAATCGCCTATTGTCCTGTGGTCATGGCGTATAACCTAAAAACTAGTTTGGTCATATTCCTAGAATTAGAACGATGACTTGTACATCTAATGCTTTAAAGCATTAGTTAATAAACGAGGCCTGGTAAGGAATTACGGTATTTTCCTTTTGGCGCTGAATCCTCGACGTGCTCATGCTATGAAAATGTGGTGTAGGTTTCCCTGGACAGCTAAAGGAACAAACTTCCATACTATAACGGTTACAGATAAAAAAATCTCTTTCGACACTTTGGTACCAATGGATCCTAAGTATTTTGAACATATAACACCCAGACGCCCAAAAAATTAAAAAAACGTATTGTGACTGGGGAGGGCCAGTTCTCGAGGCTGATCCCCCATTTCTAGCCATCGGGCCATCCCCGTTCCTCGCTGGACCGATAATGTAAAGACCTTTACAGGTATTACCATCACCCAGGCGCAGAGGTTTACCAAAGGGAGCGTGGAGCAAGTTCTGCGGCGCCACTAACACGACCTTCAGAAATGTAGAGCGCGACTGAAGAAGTTAACAAATTATATTTACGTGAATATCATACGAAAGAAAATATTCTGGAGCCATTCGTGTTTCCTATATTTACCTACAGTTTCCTTATCAATAATTTAAATTGATAATCCGATATTATATATCTTTAGAAGAAAAGTAATAATAATTTACGGAATTATATAGACGCCTTATATATAACTCTATTTAATTGCTGTATATAATTTTAGGTGATAGATAAAAGCAACCTTAACGCTAATGTACATAATAGAGAAACCTATGTATATCTTATGTTATTCATCAGTTTCTTGAAGCGTGTCTTGTTCTGTGATGCAGCAACTCCACAGTCGCAATACCCTTCTACTATCGTTACGAAGTCATGATTATTAGAAGATATTATCTGAGCTTTATATATTTTGGTTAGATATATTGCTATAAAGGAATCTACCTAGTGGTGTTATCAAAGACTTGTAAGTTTTCAATCTGTTCGATTTACAATACGCCAATGTGTTGCCAGATGCAATAAATAGTCGTATCGCGATATCGACGTCACATAATTCTACACCTTGAGATAGAAGTTCGTCTTTAAATTCCAGAATTACAAATAAAAGAGCATACATTACTACCTACGTGTTCTACTAGTGGGGGAAGAAGTTGACACATTTTTGTGTCAGTTTCACAGTTCCTAAGCCAAGTAATTAGCATTGGTAAAATGGAATTTTGTACCAGGAATCGAGCCGAGTTATTCGTTTTGATGAATAGGCGAACTATTGGACATAAGAGCTGACATGAAATAAATAATACTCAAATGCCCCTACATCAATATATTTTTTAACTTAAATGGTTAATTACTGTGGTAATTATAACCAGGCATAATATATTGTTTTGGGTTTGATTTTAGGAGAAATAAAGTATACACATCGTATAGATAAAAAAAATAATAAAAGGCCGGCAACGCACTTGCACCCCTTTGGCAATGTGAGTGCCCGTTTGCCCCGTTATATAAAAATACTTTATTTTATGGACAATTTGCCTGTCTTATTGCGACTCTTAAATGTCTCGACCTATAAAATTATTAATAAAGCAATAATAAAGAACACTAATCAATAGGAATAACTGTCTGTAAAAGCCTAGCCATTCTAAGTAGTAAAAGTACCGTAATTCGTCGAATGTTTAAATACTTGTTAATTACATACATAAACCTAAAAGCACGAATACATTATACATCCGATAATTTAATGTTTGAGGAAATCTAAAGAAATATTTTAATTGAATTAAAGACATATTTCGTCACTATTCACAAGTGCCTTAGGTGATAAAGGAATTTTTTAATTAAAATTTTCTTGACTAACGTGTTCTTTATTAATATAATCTAGCTTACAACTCTTTGAAAACTATAAAATATTAAGTTGTCGTTTGTTTAATGTTTAATGTCAGTTTTTTTTATCTATTGATGTACTGTAATTAACGTAGGTTTTCTGTTTCATACATTTTCTTTATCAATATAATCTGTTTTGGCTTTGTATATTGTCTAAGAGTTTTCTTTTATAATATGGGTATATGTAGCTGTAAGATTGCTTAAAAAAATATATAGAGAAAAACGTGATTTAGAAGCAATGAAATACATCAATCACTCAAATGAACGTAAACTATGATACCATTATTTTTATAATAAAAGTAATTTAATTCCCTCCACATAAATCTTTTAAAGCCTAAACGTGTGGGTTGGCCCTAACATTTGTGACCGCTTGACCTCGAGGTCAATCCGGGGTCAATGCACCGGCTGTCGCATGCGCCATGCACAAAATGCACTTTCGTAATGGCGCGCTTTGACGGACAAGTTCCGTTTCGAATTTTGACAGATCACGTTTTCCCGCGCTTTGTAAAAAAGTCTTCAATGGGCTTACTATTGCACAATGCAATACAGAATATGAATATAGAAATTGGTTTGTTTTGGAAGATTTCAAAGTCTTTTTAACAATATATATTATTTTATCTTATGCATAGTTGACAATTTATGTGTCAGAAATTCGGAAAAATACATTAATAACGATATTTATGGGGGTTTAATAAAAATAATATTATCACATAAGATATCGCATGGAATTTATATTTGCATTCCTAGACTATAAATTACGTCCGGTCTTTAGCCACATTGGATCTAGCTACTTTTATTGATGTATGCCATTTATAAGAGTTTATAACTATTTATCGATGTATTTAATATTCATAGGACTTTTAACAGATAACAATAATAGTTTATGGACGTTTCCCAATTGGGCCACAGAAAATATCACATCCTTAATTCCTATTCTAAAAACATCACCCGGGTACAATGTCAGTCTCTACTAATCAAAGACAAGTCTAAAACTGAAATCTTCTTTTTTGAAGGTTGACTTATTTGACAACCAGACTGTCACTTACGAAACGAATATTAATGTGCCTATATGCAAATAATTTTTTTGTTTATGGAAGGGATTTTGATAGAGAAAATTAATTCGCGCTCACTTATTTCTTTAGCTAACATTTTCAATTTCGCCTTACGTCGGAATTACTGCATAATTGTATTACACTTTTACTTATTTTAACCACTGGCTAACCGCAGTCTAACGCACACCTGACAGGAGTTGTCTGTCATTAGGTCTCGTAATAAATATGAATTTGTAATTTTAATTTTATGTTGGCGCCTGTCGCCACTCATTTACTAAGCTTCATTTCTTTCAAACTATCACTGTTTTACTATGATTTCTCAATAGTACATAATAACTTTGTATAACTCCGATGAGTCGTTTGTTTTATGTAAGTGTAAAAACGAATTTATGCCTTAATGTCTTAATGTCCTTAATGTTTAATTTTATCATAAATAAGGGAAACATAGATAATGCTGTACTGAAATCAGTTTTAGTTTAATACAAAGTCTAAGAGTAGAGCATTGTTGGCCCAGTGGCTTCAGCGTGCGACTCTCATCCCTGAAGGCGTGTCAACCCCGGCTGTGTACCAATAGACTTTCTATCTATATGCGCATTTAACACTCGCACATACGGCATACCTACATGAGAAAAACTTCGCATGGATACCGGCATAAGCCAAAAAGTCGAAGGCGTGTGTCAGTCACAGAAGGCTATTCACCTACTTGCGTATCAGAAAAATAAATGATGACGCCACAAATCTGAGGCCTTAAAGGTTGTTACGTCACAGGTTTTTTTCTACAAAGTATGCCGTCCTTGCCTCTACAATTGGCATGTCCTAGATTATTTTTAGAATCCAGCAATTTACTTGGATTATTTCGCACGTACTTGCTTGCTAATTTTTGATTTAGATTTTTGAGTACAATATTATTCACAAACCATCCAGTTCGCAGCCTCCCAGTAGTAGGTAACTGACATCTAAAGGTTGATATAGGGGGGAAGAGGAAAATACATTTTCTGCAATTTCTCTTCTTTCCACTCATATTAAGTGTGAGCTGAGGGCGCAGAGGTCAATTACTGGTTGTGGGTTTGGACAAAATATGTTGTAGACTTCTATCTCGTAAAGTAAAAATCAGAAAGCTTTCATGCAGAAATCTTTTTGATTTCTATGAGGTAGCAAAAAAATCGGTTCCCAAATATGCCGCCTTAAAAATCTGCAGCCCTAGGCTCCAGCCAACTCAGCCTGCTGGTAAATCCGCCACTGCGAGTAAACTTTAGAAATATACATTTTAAATAACAATTCATTATATCAATAGATTAACTGGCAATATACTGCCATCTCCTTTCGAAAGTAGGAGATCATCGTGGCTACTTTAATTATCCCGCACTTCTGAACAATGACTTGGTGCTTTAATCAAACCATTGTCTAAAATTGTTCAATAAAGACGTGCGTCTGCGGCCAGGGTCTCCTTTTATCTGCCACTTGCCTTGTATGATTAGATGAAGGAGCTCGTATTTTTTGGCATTACGTAAGACGTGAGAAATATTCAAGTTTCCTTTTCTTAACCGTCATAACGATTGTATTTCGTATGCGATCCGTCCAAGATATTTTTGGCATGCGTCGATAAACCCAGATCTCAAACCCTTCCAGACATAGTCTCTGTCTCTGTAAGATTCTACGCCGTAGAGCAGCACAAAGTGATAACTAAATTTTTATAAAACACTAGCTGGCCTGGCGAACATCGTACCGCCAAACAGTCGATTCTTTATTTTTTTTAATACTTATTCTGCTAATCGGGACACCGGTCTAGTTAGTAAGATAAAAAAAGAAAGTTGATAAGACAACAAAGACATTATGTGAAAAAATTAAAATTTACCTTCCCGGAACCCCTCCACTAACACTTGAACTTTATGGTATGGTATTAAAGTTCAAATTGACTT